CGTCCTTCAGGCAGTGCTCAGCTATGATGAACCTTAGCCAATTGTGCTTTTAAAACCATTGTGTGCTTGAATACGCACATAAAGACACGTAGCCCATCACAGTTTTACATCCACTTACCCAGCGTCACACCATTTGTGCCACCAGTCCCCGGAATCATGCATACCAAAATGATAGCCCTTGATGACTTATTTAATGACAACAGCCCAGACCAAGCACAAGGCCCAATTTTGAGTCATACAGTTCAGAACCAAGAAACCAACTGGGGGAGTTGATGTGGGTCAATTTCTTTATGTATTTTATTTTTTCCTGCCCTTTGAACACAGTCTCCAACCACTGCTTCCTTTGAAAGGCAGGCTTGTGGTTTTAGAACCAGATGGTGCAGAATCAGTTTTTCCTTCTCTTCTCTAAGTACGACTAAAAACCTTGAAAGCTTAAAAACCATGATAGCTAGAAACCTTGAAAGCTAGAAAGAAGATGGTGGGCTGGCTTGGGCGCTTGAGAGTCGAGGAACAACAAAGTGGTGGATCTCCCTGGGTTTTCTTTTCCTTTCCCATATACCCTGGACTAAGCACTGAAGGGGCCTGCAACCCAGAGCCACCAACAGAAAGAGGAGGAAGGAAAAAAAAGTGGAAAGCTTGCTTTCTCAGCCAAAGGACAAGAAAGGGGGAGCCCAGTAGAGACTCACGGGGAACCCCAGCCCTAGTTTCAGACCAGCGTGCCAGCAGGTGGCCCGAATTGCTCACAGCAGCTGCAAAGCCCTGTGTCTCCCTGCCTGTCCCTCTGCAGAAGGCCCAGCAATACCATGCGACCCAGGGAAGCACCTTCTGACACCACAGAAGACACCGGCAGGGATTGAGCAGGAACCCCAGCTGTACCAAAAGAACAACGCAGACCAGAATAGTATTGCAAGGGCTCAAAAAACAAACCGAACTGCCGTCTCTTCCTCGGCGCTGCCTGTGGAGGTGGCAGCCAGCTCTTACTCGGCATCCTGGCTGCCCTCAAACCCCTGGGGAAGCCCAAGATCGTGAAAAAGAGGACCCAGAAGCTCATCTGGCACCAGTCAGACTGATATGTCAAAGTTAAGTGCAAATGGTGGAAACCCAGAGGCGCTGACAATAGGGTGCACAGAAGATTCAAGGGCCAGATCTTGATGCCCAACATTGGTTATGGGAGTGACAAGAAAACCAAGTCCATGCTGCCCAGTGGCTTCTGGAAGTTCCTAGTCTACAATGCCAAGGAGCTGGAAGTACCGCTGAAGAGCAGCAAACCTTACTGTGCAGAGATCGTTTACAGCATCTCCTCCAAGAACCACAAAGTCCTTGTGGAAAGAGGAGCCCAGCTGGCCATCGGAGTCACCAACCCCAATGTGAGGCTGCTCAGAGAAGAAAATGAATAGACAGCTTATGTACATGTCATATTCGTGTTAATAAAACATAAAACTGGAAAGAAAAGTCAGAAAAACAGGAAGGAAGGAAGGAAGGAAGGAAGGAAGGAAGGAAGGAAAAAAAGGAAAGAAAGGAAGGAAAGGGAAGGAAGAAAAAAGAAAAAGAAAGAAAAAAAGAAAGAAAAGAAAAAGAAAGAAAAGAAAGAAAAAGAAAAGAAGGAAACAACAGTTGTTGGAAGTAAAACCCATAAAAGAACCAATATACTACACCTAAACAGGACTCCCACCTGCTAAAATAGAAGATGTAAATAGAATTAAAAGATCCCTAACGTAATGACCTAAATGTCCAGGATACAACAGAAAATCACTCATCATACCCCAAACCAGGAAAACAACAATGTAAATAAAAGGCAATCAACTGATACCAATACTGATATGATTCAGATGTTAGGATTTATCTGACAAGGATTTTAAAGCAGTTATAATAAAAATGCTGCAACAATCAACTGCAAATTCTCTTGAATTGGAAAATCTGAGCAAAGAAATAGAAGTTATGAGAAAGAACCACATGGAAATGATAGAAATGAGAAATTACTATGAAAGTTAAAACTTGGATGAACTCAGTAGTAGCATGGAAATGACAAAAGATCAGATCAGGGTCTTTAAGGACAGATCAATGAAATTTACTCAATCCCAACAACAAAGAAAAAGGATAAGGGACCCATGGGACAATAACAAAAGAGCTAACATTTGTGTCATCAGAATCCTAGGAGAGGAGAAATGTGGGGCTGAAAGGTATTCAAAGAAATAATGGCTGAAAACTCCCCAAAGTGAAAGTTAGAAACCTGTGGGTTCAAGAAGCTGATATACTCTTGGGGCGCCTGGGTGGCGCAGTCGGTTAAGCGTCCGACTTCAGCCAGGTCACGATCTCGCGGCCCGTGAGTTCGAGCCCCGCGTCAGGCTCTGGGCTGATGGCTCAGAGCCTGGAGCCTGTTTCCGATTCTGTGTCTCCCTCTCTCTCTGCCCCTCCCCCATTCATGCTCTGTCTCTCTCTGTCCCAAAAAATTAAAAAAATTAAAAAAATAAAAAAAATAAAAAAAATAAAAAAAGAAGCTGATATACTCCAAGTAGGTTGAGACCAAAGAAATCCACTAGACAGATCATAATTAATCTTCTGAAAGCTGAACACTTAGCTAAAGTATGAAAAACAGGGGGAAACAACCAGGAAGGAATACCAATTCAAGTTCTATTTTAGTATTGCCTATAAAGGAAACTATGGAGGCAGAAAGAAGTCACACAACATTTATAAAGTGCTGAAAGCAAAGAACTGTCAATCTTGAATTCTATATGTGATGAAATTATCCTTAAGGAATGAAAGGGAAGTGACATTCTCAGATGAAGGGAAACTAACAGCACACACACAGACAAAGCGATAGGAGTGCTCGATTTAAAATACCTAGTTAGGGGCGCCTGGTGGCTCAGTCCGTTGAACCTCTGACTTTGGCTCAGGTCATGATCTCACAGTTCGTGGGTTCGAGCCTCACATCAGGCTCCGTGCTGACGGCTCAGAGCCTGGAGCCTGCTTTGGATTCTGTGTGTGTCTCTCTCTCTGCCCCTCACCCACTCATGCGCACGCTCTCTCTGTCTCAAAAATAAAATAAACATTAAAAAAATAATAAAATATGTAGTCGGGGGAGGGAGAAAGAGGTACAAAGTAAAGGATGACCCCGGGTTTCTAACCTGGATGTTTAGAAGAATCTAGATTGAGGTAATTCCTCAAACTGAGATAAACTGGACCCAATTAATTTATATTTGGGTATATGGATTTATTCTTTAAACTTTTTATTTTGAGATAATTGTAGATTTTACGTGGGTGTGAGAAATAACAGAGAGATGCTGTCTGCCCTTTACCCATTTTCCCCAGGGGTAGCACATTACTACGGCACAATATCACAACCAGGATATTGACATCGATATAGTCAAAACACAGAACACTTGCATCATTGATAAATTGGATGCCATCAACATTAAAATACTTTGCTCTTGGGGCGCCTGGGTGGCTCAGTCAGTTAAGCATTCGTCTTCAGCTCGGGTCAAGATCTCGGGGTTCATGGGTTCAAGCCCTGCATCGGGCTCTGTGCTGACAGCTCAGAGCCTGGAGCCTGCTTCAGATTCTGTGTCTCCTTGTCTCTCTGCCCCTCCCCTGCTCATTCTCTCTCTCTCTCTCTCTCTGTCTCTCTCTCAAAAATAACTAATAAACAATAAAAAAATTAAAATAAAATACTTCGCTCTATGAGAGACCCTGTTAAGAGGACAAAAAGACAAATGACAGACTGGGAGAAAATATTTTGCAGATCACAGATCCAACGAAGGATTTGGTCTAGAATATATAAAGGACTCTCAAAATGCAATATTAAAAAAATGAACGGCCCAGTTAGAAAATGGGCAAAAGATATTCACAGGCATTTTATGCAAGAGGATATACAGATGACAAACATGTGAAAGACGTTCAACGTCACTAATCACTACAGAAATGCAGATGAGAAGACCACATGAGATGTGACTGCACACATATCAGAATGGCTAAAATGAAGAATAATATCCAACGCTGATGAGGACATAGAGAAACTGCAGCACTCATCCATTGCTGGTGGAAAGGTAAATGGTATAGCCACTCTGGAAATAGTTTTGTAGTTTCTTTAAAAAATGTTTTTTGGGAGACAGAGAGAGGGCGAGCAGGGGAGGGGAGAGAGAGGGAGACACAGAATCCGAAGCAGGCTCCAGGCTTTGAGCTGAAGCACAGAGCCCGACGCAGGGCTGGAACTCACGGACCGTGAGATCATGACTTGAGCCGAAGTCGGACGCTTAACCGACTGAGCCACCCAGGCGCCCCGAGTTCCTTTTAAAATAGACTTACCATACAACCCAGCAATTGTATTCTTGGGTACTTATCCCAAGGAAGTTAAACTGATTTTCATGCAGACCCATGGAACAAATATTCATAGCTGCTTTATTCGTAATAGTCCAAAAAGCTAGAAACTACATCTTGTCAGTTATGCAAGATGCTAAAAAAAAAAAAAAAAAAAAAGGATGCTAACTTATGGAGAAGGCTGGGTGAAGGGTGCGGGAGTACCCCACTCCCACCCCATGCTTTATTTGCAACTTCCTGTGAATCTATTTTAAATTTTTTTTAACGTTTAATTTATTTTTTGAGACAGAGAGAGACAGAGCATGAATGGGGGAGGGGCAGAGAGAGAGGGAGACACAGAATCGGAAGCAGGCTCCAGGCTCTGAGCCATCAGCCCAGAGCCCGATGCCGGGCTCGAACTCACGGACCGCGAGATCGTGACCTGAGCTGAAGTCGGCCGCTTAACCGACTGAGCCACCCAGGCGCCCCGTCTGTGAATCTATTTTAAAACAAACAGTTTATTTATTTGTGATGACAACACTTAAGATCTACTCTCTTTCAAAATAAAAAGTTTAAACAAAGTCAGGCTCAACCCCAGCATGACCAGTCACAGCAGTCAGGGAATGTTGTCTTGCCATATGTTTTGAGATACGTTTGACATTTTCACTGTGGCCGCCCCCTTATAAATGAACAGAGTACACGGAAACTTCAATGAAGCATTCTTTTCCAATTCTGTGTATTCACAGAGAAATGGCATTTGTTCTCTGTGTTGTCAGGACCTTAATCTTATCACGTGCTTCTGTTTTCCATTTTGACAGAGCTGTGTTTGTGGCTGGGTCATCTTACCCCGCCTTCCTCCCCTCTACGATGGTGGTGATGGCGTATGCTTCTCTTGCTTTCTCTCTCATAGACACTTCTTTTCATAGCCCCAAATAAAAATGGTTGTATCCTTCCTTCTGCCTGCCCCACTGTCTCCATTTTGGGATGGGACTTAAAGCCTTCAGGTACCTTAAATGTAACTTACTCATTTTATGTTCCAAGCTTTATTGTAGCATCCTAGGATTGAGCATTCAGCCACTTAGGAGTGTTTTGAGAGTCTAAGTAGCTAAGAAATCCTAGGGCTTTCTCTTGTATCTTTTCCACTGTGAGTAACCTTGTATTCAGGGGAAAAGAGAGGGAGAGAAATAGAGACACATTAACTACACAGACCTATTCCTTGGAAAGCCTGCGTGTCCATTTATCCTTCTCCCCAGGGATAAAAAAAAAAAAAAAATCCCAAACTTGGCCATTACTAATAAAGTTAAATAATACAAAATGCCAACACAACAGTACTTTTGAACAGTGACAGAGACATATAATTCAACTTTTGGCACAACAGTAAAGCCACGAGACCTCCTGTTTATGTTTTATTGGAACAAATCACTTCCCCTTAAGACTCACATGAAGACTCAAAAGCTGATGACAAAAGCCAGTCATTTCCTACTCATAGGGAGAGAAGACACAGCCCTAAGTTCCCTTATACTAACAGAAGAGCAAAATCCATCCCTTTAACTGGGCCCCTTGTTCTTCATCTACACAGTTCTTAGGGCTTTGATATCAACTGTGATCACTGTTATTTCACAGTAAGAAGCAGCCATGGGAAGACATACCTATTCATCTCGGGAGAGAAGATATTTTGTTGTATTTCTGATATAGCGCCTTGAATTCTTGAAAGAAAAAAAATCAGAGAGAATTATGTCAGTGCCAGGGGGCTGGTGCTAAAGTGGAAGGTCTAGGGGCGCCTGGGTGGCTCAGTGGGTTAAGCGTCCAACTTCGGCTCAGGTCATGATCTCAGGATTTGTGATTTCGAGCCCCGCGTCGGGCTCTGTGCTGACAGCTCGGAGTCTGGGGCCTGCTTCCGATTCTGTGTCTCCTCCTCTCTCTGCCCCTCCCATGCTCCTGCTCTCTGTGTGTCTCTCAATAATAAATAAACGTTTAAAAAAAATTTTTTTTTAACTTGAAAGTCTAACTCCTAAGGCTGGCTTAGAAAAGGCTTACAGACCAAAGCCAGGGAGTGGGGGTTTTTTAAAAACACCGCAGATGCCTTTTTTCTTTTTTTCCTTCTTGAAGGGTCATTCCTAAATGAAGGAAATCAACTGCACACTGAATGGTATACCCTTCCTCCTCTCTGATTGTACGTTTGGCTTTCCTCAATGAATTAAAGCCTGAAGGAGGACGCTACGAGGTATTTTTTTCTGAAACTGACGCATAGCAGCTTTGTTACCAAGGAGGGTGGCTTGCTCCTGTCGTTAGCTTTGTTTGCTCTGGGTAGCTTCCCTTTTACCGATTGTTGCATTTCTCATGATCGCTCCCTCAGCCACTCAGGGGTCTCTTCTGAGACCGACTCTACTCTGAACACAGACGAACTCTGTGTGTGCGAGGGAATAGGGCGGAGTATCCACGTGCCTGCCAATCTATCTCGGATGATCTGCGGTCATAGTGCGGTTTTCGATCGCCAAGCCTCTTCAGAATGCCCTGGTTTTCCACGGTGATTCTCACTAGCTCCCGGTTTCTTGTTTCTCTGTTCAAGCTGAAAAACACAAAATCCTGAGATGGTTGAAGAATAAAATACCCCTCTCGGATGAAGTCGTGATGTCATAAACCCAGGCTGCCTAAGCTCAGGGAACACACTGTCCTGCTGATCCCTGAGGCCCCATATACCTGTTGAAATCGACTACACTCTGGCGAACGCGCACAGCATTGGTAGGTTTGTATCAGTGGTTTTTCAACCCTGATGTCCGCTAGAAGATTCTACTTTTTTGGTCTGGGGTGCAGCTTGGACATTGGCATTTGGTAGCAGCACCCCAGGAATGGTTATGTGAAACCAGGACTGAGAATGTCTGGTTTATGTCATGGGGGAAGGGGCTTGACTATGGATACATCACAAAGGGCCAGGGACAAGTTCTGCTTTGCTTCTTTTCAGCTTTCAACTATTTCAGATATACAAGGAAATATATATATATATATTTCATCTATATATATTTCATCATTTATATATATATATATATATATATTTCATCTCTATTCATAGCACTTAGCACATAGTAGTTGCTCAGGAAATATTTGAGGAACCGATCCTTAAGAACGCTGTGCTTCAGAGTCCCACCTCTGGTCACCATTTGACAAAACTATGCGGTATTTTCCCGTGACAAACTCTGAATAGGACTCCAAAAAGTCTCTTAGATGCAACAAAAGTTAGGAGTCTTTAATGCTAGAGGAAGGTCCCCCTTTTGAGTAGTTTCTATTCTCCTTAATCTGGTCTCTCCGGCTTACCCGTCAAGATACCTTCCTTCGAGTCCTCCTCCTGCTCAGGGGAAACTCGCACTAAAATTCAACGAGGGGCAAGTCAATTCTGACTTTCCAAAAATGAAAAGGGGAGAAAGAACACTACCTCTTGGAAAAATATTCGTTCCAACAATCCACCCTGGCAGGGCCGCGATGGGCGTTTGCGATTTTCTGACACAGTTGCTTGTTTTCATATTCGATTTTGTCGATTCGCTTTTGTTCACCCTGGTAAGAAACCACACCCCAGCATGGTGACATCGTCCAACACCCAACGGCTCAGGATCACCGTCCTCTGGGATGGTGGGGGAGGGGCAAATTGGGGGCCACCATGGAGACGGGGAGCAGAGCACAGGAAATGGCTGGTGTGCAAGGGGAGGGGAGGAGTGACAAATCTCTGGGTTAGGTGGGTATTTATGAGGCTCTGGGAAGCTGGACCCCTTCAGGACATAGATAAAGATCAGTCAAGTACATCTGCAAATGGCAAGAACAAATACCTGTAGTTTGCTCAGTTTTAAAATGTGATGCGTGTGTGCCACCGGAGGTTTGGTATCGACAGTAGGCTTCACTAGAGAAGGATAAAAGAGAGCCACGTTACGACACAGGAGTCCCCTCAGCCACCTCGGAAAACCCACTCATTCTAAATGACCGTCCGACTAATACACATTACGATTTTGAATTCCGACATTACTCTAGTTCAGGAAGTTTAACTGTCCCAAGCTGACATCTTTGATGAGTTTTTTAGCAGACGTGAAAGAACGTGAGGGCGGGAACAAGTAAAACGTAAGGATCAATGTTCTTTGCACCCAGTGAAAGAGCCTCTCCCGGGGTGCCTGGGTGGCTCAATTGGTTAAGTGTCTGACTTCAGCTCAGGTCCTGATCTCACGGTTCGGGAGTTCAAGCCCCACATCAGGTTCTGTGCTGACAGCTCAGAGTCTGGAGCCCGCTTCGGATTCTGTATCTCCCTCTCTCTCTGCTCCTCCCCTGCTCATGCTCTCTCTCGGTCTCAAAAATAAATAAACATTAAAAAAATTAAAAAAAAAAATCTCTCTCATCCTCCACAATAGGACTAGCCTGTTGGGAGCCTCTCTAGTTTTCTTTGGCTTTAACGAGTTTAAATGAGCATTTCCGTCCACTGGACTCCGGGTGGAAGATAAATTTTGCCACTGACGCTGTTCTCTTGACCCAACCTAGCAGATACGGCCACATCACTGCAAAGCCCTGTCCTGGTCTGGTTTACCGTCAATCTCTCTAAGGTGGACCCTTCCAGAACCCCTAATCACAGTGTCCTGCCCCAATGGCCCACATACCTATTTGTATCCTATTCTTGTGAAATATGTAGTGGCCAAAGTCCAGTTTCTTCCTGAAGGTCGTGCTCTGCCTGTGATTAGAGACGATTACAGGGTAGGCGAGATAATCCAGGCAATTGTTCATCTTCTCTTCCTAGTCTCACTTCAGAAATGAGGCACTCAGTCTCCTCTGTGAGGTCCTTAGCCGTCCCCGTGACATGTTGTCATAGTTACCCAGTTATGACATCAGGGACGGGTCTTGGGGAAGGAAGAGGAGTGGCGGAGCATGCCTGGCCACCCCTGGGCTTCTGCTTGAAAGCTAATCTAGGTCCAAGTCAAGATGAGGGGCGAGACTCAGAAGCTCGCTCTCCCCACCTGCCTCGCGGGCAGATGCTGCCAGCAATACGGGAAAAGGCGTGGTGCGCTGGGAGGGGTGGGAAGGCTCCCGGTGGGGGCTGGGGTGGAGGAGTCCAGCCTTGGTTATACACCTTGGGCTCTAAGCTAACCAGTCTCCACCGTGATGGATCCCCTGGAGCCGTGAGACCACCAGCTTTGGGGGGAAGGTGAAAGATGGCCTGAAGGATAATCTCATCCAATTTCTTCCTTTTGCAGATGAGGAAACTGAAGTCCAGAGTCACAGCCTGATTTGCTGCTCAAGAACCGAGTTAGTGGCAGGGCTGGACTCAGGATGAGGTTTCCTGAACTCCCAGGACATCTGGTTTTGGGAGGGGTAAGGGTGGGTGTGGGTAATCTGCCGTCGGCAGTGGGGGAGAACAGAGACCGTCGTCCGCTCTTAGTGGGATCTCAGCAAATGAGGAGCAGCCAACCCTGGGCTGGCAGCTGCTCTTGGACCGGCTGCAAAGGAGCCTGATTCACCTCCACAGTATCACAGGTGTAGTAGCACCTACTGGGTGCTCATTACATTGGCCAAAGTAGAAGGAGAACACCTACTGAGTGCTCATTGCACAGTGTTGGGCGCTTTCCTTGAGCGTCACATTTAATCTTTCAAACAACCCTAGGAACGAGGCACAAATGATGTGGAAATGTTGGGGCAAACGATCAAGAAAGAATTCTTGAGACATCTTTGGGGCAAAACAGTGGTTTTCTTTTTTTACATTGATTTATTTTTGAGAGACAGAGACAGAGCACACATGAGGGAGGGGCAGAGAGAGGAGGAGACACAGAATCCAAAACAGGCTCCAGGCTCTGAGCTGTCAGCACAGAGCCCGACACGGGGCTCGAACCCACAAACCTCGAGATCATGAACTGAGCCAAAGTTGGATGCTCAACCTGAGCCACCCAGGCGCCCCATCGGTGGTTTTCTTAAAGCATGAGGGCAGGACCAGTGGGGAGAAAGAGCACTGGGGTTGTGGAAAGTTGAATATATACTTTCAAGTCGGGAGGGGGTTAGGGACAGAGAAAGCCTGTAAGGAATTTTGGAAACAAGATTTCCAGGACCCTGAGGAGGCTAGCTATTGTTACGAAAAAGTCATTTATTACTGTTCGTAAAAAGTCAGGAGCCCTTTCAGATGTATATCCTGGGGCCATATGCTTGGAGGATGATTGCTAACATACATCTTGGGGGGTACAGGTAAAGGAAGTTTCCAAAGGAATTTCTATATGTTTAAAGTAGACTCACAAGATCCTGGCAGGAGGAGGAGGGGGCGGGTAACGTTAAGCTAAGATTCCCTTTTGCCCTTAGCAAAGTATCAACGTGGAGACAGCTGAGCTCCCAGAGGAAGGTCACTCTGGCTGTTTCAAGGACTGATCAATGGGCTGTGAGTAGCAGGGAAATTTAACTTTTTCTTTTGTCTTTGTTTCCCACATCAACAGTATCCTTTTTTTTTTTTTTTTTTTTTTTTTTTTTAAATAGCAAACAGGTTCAGAGAGACCAGCGTCAGAATGCCAAGTCTGGCTGCGCAGAACCCAAGCTTTTGGGCACGATGCTGGGTCTCCATAACTGTTGGAAGAAACGTGTCTCAGAGTTGTGTTGCTCAAACTCTAACCTTTGTAGGAATCGCGGTGGGGGAAGGAAGGGAGTGTGTGCTGTAAAAGGCACATTCTTATCCGGCAAGTCTGGGCTGGGGCGCAGATTCTGCCTTTCGGACCAGCTCCCCGGGCGAGGTCTGTGCTGCTGGTCCCGCAGCAGGCAGTCAGAGGTCACAAGCCCAACCCTGGTGTCCCGGGAATCCTGCAAAACTAAGCGACACCTGTGGTGTCAACCGGAGCCTGGTCAATTGGAACATTTACTGCGTCCCGAGTTTAGTCCAATGAAGCCACTGCACTTCCCAGTGGATAACGGTACAGAAAAGGCCGCGGGTGGGCCGAAAAGGACCCCTCCCCCCCCAACACGGGCGGCGCCATTTCCGCCGGGGCACGTGCCTAGGGGCCTCGGAGCGTCCGCGCGACCCCAGCGGCGCGCCTTCTCGCGGGGAGCGGGGCGCGTCGGCCGCCCGCGCTCCGCCTTTTCCCGCGCCCGGCGGGCCCGCCTCCGGGGCGGGACGGGGCGGGTCCCGGCTCGCGAGCCCCCGCCCAGCTGACCCGGCGGCTCTCCCCTCGCAGGCTGCTGCCCCGGCGTGCTGGGCCCGGCCGCCGCCATGTCGGGCCCGTTCGAGCTCTCGGTGCAGGATCTCAACGACCTGCTCTCGGACGGCAGCGGCTGCTACAGCCTGCCGAGCCAGCCCTGCAACGAGGTCACCCCCAGGATCTACGTGGGCAACGCGTGAGTCGCCGCTGGGGCGCCCCGCCCACCCGAAAGCCGGGGTGGGGGCGTCGCGGGCGTGGGGAGGGGGGGTGCGGGGCGTGGTCGCCGTCCGGGAACACAGAGGGGGCTGGAGTCGCCGCCCGCCCCCGTGCGTGGGGGCGGAGGGGCTAGACCCCGCCCCGGCCCCACGAGGTCCTCCCCCTCGCGGGGGGCACGGAGCCCGGGGCGCTCGGCCAGCCCCGCGTGCGGCCCGCGGCCGTTACCCGCTAGGGACTCGGCTTTGGGCGGGGTCGGGCTACCGTGATCACTTAACAGGTGGCCCTCAGTCACCCGGCCGGTCTCCAGCCCGCGCGTCATGTGACAGCTGCCTGGCTCTGCAGTGAGGTCACCGCGGAATGTCTGCCTTCGCTGCCATGGCAACGGGCTGACGTCACAAATCGGGCGTGGAAGTTTCCCGGCTGGGCAGGCCTGATCAAGGAATGTGGGATCCGGAGAGCGGGGCCGGGGTTTCCTCGCTCCTTTTCCTGCCTTGCACATAGGGTTTGATTAACCAACGCCCTGAGCTCTGTGGGCCAGGGTCTGCGTGTTGGAAACCCAGAACTAACTGTCTTCTCTCCTTTTACCCAGGGGGAAATGGTGGCTCAGAGTGGTTGAGGGGTTGTGAGGACAGGGTCAAAGTCTTGTTCATGTCTGTACCCCCTGTCCTGTACTACAGGACTGCTGCTTACCCTAAGGAGTGCCACAAAAACGGGGATCATCGCGGGGCCAAAAGGGGTCCACAAGGCAGGTCCCACCTTCATGGGGGACTGTCTCCTCCATTGCATTTATTCATTCACCATATTGAGCACTTACTGTGTGTCAGGCACTGTATAATGCGCATTCATAGGGATATTAATGATAATGGTAAATTTGTCGAATGTCAAGTAATAGAGAAGGGAGGTGAATGGGAGTTCACCTTCAGAGTTGTTTGTTTTCTTTTTTAAAAAAAAATTTTTTTTTTCAACGTTTATTTATTTTTGGGACAGAGAGAGACAGAGCATGAACGGGGGAGGGGCAGAGAGAGAGGGAGACACAGAATCGGAAACAGGCTCCAGGCTCTGAGCCATCAGCCCAGAGCCTGACGCGGGGCTCGAACTCAGGGACCGCGAGATCGTGACCTGGCTGAAGTCGGACGCTTAACCGACTGCGCCACCCAGGCGCCCCAGAGTTGTTTGTTTTCATCAACCACTGCCTTACAATACAACCGTGTGCAGGATGGTGAGCAGGGACAAGCTAAAACAGTCCCAGAGCCTCAGCCAGAGGGCTCAGTAATTGCGGAGTTCTGAGAAAAGCCAGCCCCCTGTCCAGTCAACGCAAGCAGCAAGTGGCCTTGGCACCCTTGGGACCCGCTGTCTTGGGCAGTTTGGCACATTCGGCTGCCACCACTTACCAAGTGAAAACCTAGGTTGTGGATGTCTGGTGGTAGCCAGACTGGCAAGTGCTGATGGCCACTGTAGAAAACACATCCCCTGCCCAGTTAGTGAATCTGGCTTCGACTTGGCCACGGGTGTGTGTGTGTGTGTGAGGGAGGGGGGGTGCTCCCGCATGTTGGGAGCCCCTTAACCAAATCAGGGTTCACAGGGCAGAGAGGATCCTGTATGAGCCTTGTTTTCTAGAACTCAGGATTTGCAGTTGATGTGGACATGACAGGCAGAGTGAGGGGAAGACAGAACAGAGCTGGCGTCAGGTCTCCTCCCGGCTCTGCCTCCAAGCAGCCCATGTGAGCGCAAACACATCCTTCCGCTGTCCTGTTGGGCCCGAGTCTAAGCCGAGTCCTTGCTTCCTTACAGGCTGCTGTGATAGGCAAACAGGATCCTGTAGGAGAAGGCATTTCTGTAAAGTATACACTGCTGTCTGAATTGGGATGTTGTTGTGAGATGAAATAAAGGAGCCCTTTGACTATTCAGATCAAATGTTTTGTAACCCCCAGGGTTCTGTTGGCGCCACTTGGTCCCCAAGTGCTTCCTCACCCGAGAGAGCTTCAGAACCGTGGTTGGTGGTCTGTGGCGGAAAGGGTCCCTCTGGGGGACTGGCGGGGCTGCCGTGCTTTATAATCCAAGGAGGGGGGGCTGCCTACGTGGTGCCGATTTCCTTCTTTTTCACTGATTCACTGCATAGTTATTCGGCACCTACTATGTGCCAGGTGCTATAGCAGGTGCTAGGCATGCAGACCCGAAGCAGACGTGGTCATTCCCTCCAGGAGCTCACAGCCTGCCCGTCAAAACAAATAAGCACCATCAGGCATTAGAAAAGCACTGTCCTCAGTGTCAGGCTCTGTCTACACAATAGCACATTTAACACTCAATGACAACCCCCCGGGGTAGCTGCCGTTACCATCCCCATTTTACAGACGGGGAAGCTGGAGTCACAAAAAGGTCAAGGGACTTGCTCAAGGTTAACCTGGCTGGTGAGTCTCAGAGTTGGACTCAGCCCAGGCAGTCCGGCTCTGGAGCCCATTTTTAGCCACTGGGCTCTACCACCGCCTCAGCATAGGGAACACGATGCCAGATGGAATGGAGGGGTGACCGGGACATACTGCAGAGGGTGGTGAAAAATGAGAGGGTGTGTGTCCATGGAGAAGCTAGAGGATGGCATTCCAGAGCGGGAACAACACGGGTATGAAACCACCCAGTCTATTTGGGGAAGCTGCCGGTAATTAGATATGGCTGGCGTGGGGAAGGTGGGTCATAAGATGGGGAGAAGCTGGCAGGGGCCGAGCGTGGAGCGTTCCTTGCGTTGCCAAGAGACTTAGAATCTTCTCTGTCTTCCTCCCCCCGGGGCTGCCACTGGGTCAGTTAATCATTCCCTGCTGCTCTCTTCTGTCCAGGTCGGTGGCTCAAGACATCCCCAAGCTGCAGAAACTAGGCATCACCCATGTTCTGAATGCTGCTGAGGGCAGGTCCTTCATGCACGTCAACACCAACGCCAACTTCTACAAGGACTCCGGCATCACCTACCTGGGCATCAAAGCCAACGACACGCAGGAGTTCAACCTCAGCGCCTACTTTGAAAGGGCTGCAGACTTCATTGACCAGGCCTTGGCTCAAAAGAACGGTAAGGCACCTGCCTCCCAGGAAACAGTGCAAGGCAACTTTGACTGGATTTTTTTCTGGAAAAGAGGCCACAGTGGGCCTCCTCTTGGAACCTATCGAGTGGTGCTACATTACACAAGATGTACAAACCTTTCACCGGGTGGCAGCCCTGGGGTCCTTGTGTTTGAGTTGACTTTGGCTGAGAGTTCATTTCCAGCCACTCCCCACATGCCCCCAATTCAAATAGCTTCAGTAATGACAGTTTATCTTCCGTGGTAAGAAGTCCTGAGGTGAAGGAGCTCTGGGGCCGGTTGATTCAGCAGCTCAGTGGTGGCATCAGGGCAAGGTGTTTCTCCTCTCTCTCTCCTGCTGCCCTCTGTGCTGGACAGTCCCCTAGTGGTCCCACCATGGCAGTGGCAGACCCAGTCACCACATCCCAGCAGGACAAAGTGCAGTGAAAGACGAGGCCGCCGTCTGTTTCTCGTGTGTTTCTTTCCTTCCTTCCTTCCTTCCTTCCTTCCTTCCTTCCTTCCTTCCTTCCTTTTTCTTCCTTCCTTCTTTCTTTCTTCCTTCCTTCCTTCCTTCCTTCCTTCCTTCCTTCCTTCCTTCCTTCCTTCCTTCCTCCTTTCCTTTGCTTTGCTTTGCTTTGCTTTGCTTTTCTGTTCTTTCTTTCTCGTAGAATGGTCCTCAGAAACTCCTCAGTAGGGTTCCCCTCACATCTCGCTGGCTGGACTTGGCTTACGTGAATGCCTGGCCAGAGGAATGGGGGCAGCCGTGACTGGCTTAGGCTGGTGCTCAGCAAGCTGTGGCCCATGGGCCACGTCTTCCAGCTACTTTCTAAATGCTCCCAAACCTTAGACTGAAGCAGAACTGGTGAGGAACTGGCAGTCAGGGAAGGTGTCCCTGGGGGAAATCCTAGAAGGCAGAAGGCAGACGTCAGCTGAGCAGGCTGGGCCTCTTGCTCTTTCTGCTTTTAGCTTACTTCTCTCAGCAGCTCTTCCTCCCCTCCCCACAACCTTCTCAGGGGAAGTGGGGGCACGGCCTGCCCACCCGACGCGGTGGCGGGGCGGGGACCCCCCCCCCGCCCCCCGTTAAGGCACGGTCAGCCTCGTCCCCCTGATTCTAGGCTGTCTCTACTACATAATGCTTCTTGTGCCTGGTCTCCGCCCCGGAACGATTTCCAATGACCAGTTTGTACCAGATGCTGATTATGGCGTATCTGGGGCTCAGGAGGGAGGTGTTATCACACAGGGAATCTGCAGACTTCACTGTCAGGCCCTTCGTGGTCTCCTGTGTCCCCCAACCCTGGCTTCGGCTGTACTGAGTTCTTGTGTAGATGGCAACAAGGGGCACAGGTAAGGGGGTGCGTTTTGCTCATCTTGTATATGGATTGGTCATCCACTCGGGGAGCTTAGAGCTTTCTGACTTTGTTTCCTCTTTCCATACAACTAGGAACATAGCTTGACTTCTTGTGACCTCCTGCCTTAGCAGGAGCCCACATGGGCTGAGTCTGGAAATTTCTCTCTGCCTCTCCCTACCCTGTCCTCTGGCAAACTCCACCTTGCGTTTTAGCGCTGGGCACAGTGTTCTCTCTTCCATGAAGCCCGCCCTCAGGCTGGGTCACTGGGTCCCCCTGTCTGTCTCCCCAGCCCCTGATGTAGTATCGGGCACATAGCAGACAACGCTGCAAATAATTACCGAGTGAGTGACAAGAACGAATTCCAAGGACTCTAATGCCAAGTGTAAATGCTTCTGGGGTTGATTGGCCGAGTGAGTCAACAGAAATGCACTGGCCTCCAACAGTGTGCAGGGCTCAGGGGAACCAGGTGTCCATCACTTTGGAGAAGTGGGAACAGCCAGGAGTGCTCAGAGGAGGAAGCCGTCGTTTCCAGCCAGGAAGATCAAAGGAGGCTTTACGGAGGAGGATGGCGTCTGGTTGGGGCCTGGAAGGATGGGAGTCGAGCCCCTCCCCTTCCCCATTGGTTCTGTGCGTCTTGGGCTTCTGAGTCTGTTCCAGGTGGTGAGGAAGCCTCTGTGCAGATGGTCCCCTTGCCAGGGTCAGGGCATGGATGGGAGTTCCCCGCTCTGCGGACTTTGGGTACACTGGCCGGAGAGTGAATGGGCAGGAAAGTGGAGGCCTCCCCCTTCCTGCTTGGGAGGCACTGGGGAAATAGAGTCATGTTTTGGGGGTGGGGTGATGGGAACAGAAGAGACTGTGTTTGACCCTGGACCAGCCACTTTCCTTCAAAGTAATGGCAGTCTACATGTATTGGTGGGTAATCATTTACTTGGCTAGTCAGCAAATACTCATCGAACACCAATGTATCCTAGGGATGGTTGGGCATCCAGAAACCAATACCCCACAGGCCTTGCCCTCAAGGAACTCACAGTCTGGCACAGGAGGGGTAGATCTGTGCAAGGCCAACAGTGACATAGAGCTGGGCTGCCATAGTGGAAGATCCTAGGTGCCACTAGAGGACTCCTGATGCCAGATGATAGTTATTTATTGAGTGTTTACAGGTGCCAGGCTCTAGCCTAAGGGCTTAAAATAATTTTTTTTTAATGTTTATTCATTTTTGAGAAACAGAGACAGAGTGTGAGCGGGAGAGAGGGAGAGCCAGGATCTGAAGCAGGCTCCAGGCTCTGAGCTGTCAGCACAGAGCCCAGTGTGGGACTCGAACCCACGAGTTGCGAGGTCATGACCTGAGCCAAAGTCGGACACCTAACCGGCCGAGCCACCCAGGTGCCCCTCTAGCCTAAGGGCTTTATATATCATTTCCTTCAGTCCCCTAACAACATCATGCAATGGGTGCTCTTAACCCAGATGAGGAAATTGAGGCGTCATGGGGTTAGATAGGTCATAGCGTTAATAGCGTTAATCACGTTAATAACGGGATAGGGGGAGATGGCGTTGGACTTGGGGAGCCAGCTTTAGTAGGGCCTCGTGGGCCATTTGAAGGGCCATGAGAGGGTGTTTTTTGTTGGTGTGATTTATTATTATTATTATTTTTAGGTTTATTTATGTTGAGAGAGGGAGAGTGCGTGCACACGCATGCACGAGCTGGGGAGGGGCAGAGAGAGAGGGGGACAGAGAGAGAATCCCAAGCAGGCTCCGTACTGTCAGTGCAGAGCCGGATGGACATGGGGCTCAAACTCACAAACCAAACCGTGAAATCATGACCAGAGCCAAAAATCAAGAGTTAGATGCTCAACCCACTGAGCCACCCAAGTGCCCTGGGTGTGTTTTGATATTTTTGTCTTTGTGTTTGTAGTTGACATGCATGTTCCTTTTATCTTTTAAACCATTCTGTCGAGGTATAATTGACATTCGGTAAATCACACATATTTAAAACCTACAATTTGAAGTTTTGACATACGGATGCACTTGTGAAACCATCACCACAAACAAGATCGTGAGCACATCCGTCCCCTCCCCCGCTGCCTGGAGTTTCCTCATATGCCCTCGTGACCTCTCCGCTCTGCCCCTCTCCACCTTCCAACCCCTGGTCTGCTTTTTGTCACCAGACTTGAGTATACGTTTCGTAGACTTCTGTATAAATGGAATTACATGTACGCTCTTTTGGCCTGGCCTTTTTCACTCAGCGTAATTGTTGGGTATTCCATCCCTCTTGCTGCAAGTATCAACAATTCGCTCCTTGTTAATGCCGAGTAGTCTTCCAACATGTGGATGTACCGGTTTGTCCATTCACCTGTTGACGGGCATTTGGGTTGTTTCCATGTTCTGCTCTTGATTGAAATAGCAGTTTCATGTGGAGAAGCGCCCGTATCACAGGCGTGTGGATCAGTGCGCCGCACACACCCACGTATCAGCCCCCGGATCCGAAAACAGGACACCGCCAGCACCCTAGAAAGCCAGCCACGTGTTCCCTCCCAGTCCCCCCATCACTACCATCCAGCCTTCTGATAGCACAGAGCAGTTTGCCCGCTCTCCTGCTCCATGGGGTCCCAGATGCCCTGTGTGTGTTTCATCTGTGTTGTTTCTGGTGTTCGTTCTTGGTACTTTATCTCTTCTACCGTTGGTGGGCCTTTGGGAGTTGCCAGCGGGGATTATGGTGACGGGCGCTGCCTTGTGAATGTTCTGGTGTCTTTTGGTGGACGTGTGCGCACGTTCCCGCCCGGCCGTAGGGGCTGCGTGTGTCCAGGCTGAGCACATACTGCCCCACAGTTTGCTGGCGTGCTGTGCTAACGCACAGCCCCCTCCGCAGCCACAGATAGAAGTCTTGCTGCTCTACAGCCTGACTGACGCCTTGTGTTTTCCGTCTTTTTCACTGAGTCATTCTGGTGGGCACACAATGGCTTCTTACTCTACTTTTCGTTTGCATTTCCCCGGAAGGGTTTTTTTTTTTTTTTTTTGGTTTTGGTTTTCACTTTTTAAAATGTTTATTTATTTATTTTCAGAGAGAGCACAAGCAGGGGAGGGGGCAGAGAGAGGGGGAGGGCGAGAATCCCAAGCAGGCTCCGTGCTGTCCGCACAGGGCCTGATGTGGGGCTCAATCTCGAGAATCGTGAGATCGGGGGTGCCTGGGTGGCTCAGTCGCTTAAGCGTCTGACTTTGGCTCAGGTCATACTCTCATGCTTCATGAGTTTGGGCCCCATGTCCCGGTTCGGATTCTCTCTCCCTCTCTGCCCCTCCTCCACTCACACTCTGTCTCTCTTTCTCTCTCTCTCAAAATTAAATAGACGTTAAAAAAAAAAAAAAAAAAAAAAAAGAATCTTGAGATCATAACCTGAGCCGAAATCCAGAGTCAGACCCTTTAACCCACTGAGCCACCCAGGCGCCCCCAGGAGAGTTTTGACTAGGGTCTTCTGTGATTGGATGGCGCCAGCTCCGGCTCACGTGTCCCTGTTTCTTACAGGCCGGGTGCTTGTCCACTGCCGGGAAGGTTACAGCCGCTCCCCAACCCTAGTCATCGCGTACCTCATGATGCGCCAGAAGATGGATGTCAAGTCTGCGCTGAGCATCGTGAGGCAGAACCGTGAGATCGGCCCCAACGATGGTTTCCTGGCTCAGCTCTGCCAGCTCAATGACAGACTGGTCAAGGAGGGGAAATTGAAACTCTAGGGCACTCCTGCCGCCTCTTCTCTAGAGGCAGACAGGGGAGCCCCCGGTTGAGGTGTCCCAAGCCACCATGTTTAGGAAACACAGTGCACCCTGCTCCTAGCATCACCAGGCACTCGCCCACAAGTCTGTCCCAACACAGCCCTGGGCCACTTTCCCCCTGGGGAGCATATAAAGAAGCTTGCTAAGGAGGGCGTTCTTGCTCCCTGGTGTGTGTCCTGTGCCTGCAGTTTATGATGTCCCCTCCCTGAGGTGGGGGCGCAGAGGGGGAAGGCGTGTGGCATGTGTCCTTCTCCCGGATGACCGAAGGCAGGAGGTCCGTGCAAGTGTAAGGCTCGAGATGCCCACAGGGGTCCCTCCTGACCTCCGTTGCCCCCTGCCTCCCTCCCCCCTGCTCCCTACCATCCACCCCTGGGGCCTCTCCTGAGCGGGGACCCCCGCACCTCGAGCCCTGTAAGGGAACTATGCAAACGCAGGCTCCTCTCCCTCCACCATGCCTGTCTCCCCCTGCTCCTCCTAGCTGTCCGCACCTTGCTCAGAGGCAGAGGCCCATCGTGAGGTCTGAACTGGCCTGGAGAAGCCATCAGTTGTTAGCGGGTGGAAATTCCCATGAAGAGACTGCATTGTAATTATTTCCTTAGGATTAAAGATATCTAAACGAAGAGGCGCTCGGAGGGGCAAACAGACTCCCCCTGGAGGACTCCCCTAAGTCAGTAGTTTTTAAGATGCGAATCGTTGGAAGGCTTGTGTTCAGAATCCCCTGCTTTGGAATGTTCCCCTTGGACTGCTCTCAGGTCGCTTGGTCTGTTAGAAGCGCGATGCCTTGGGCATGGTTTTATTTTATTTTATTTTTATTTTTATTTTTATTTTTATTTTTATTTTTATTTTTATTTTTATAGAAAACAGAGTGTTGAAGTTCCAGCCTATTTAAAAACCCCACCATTTGAAGAATTACAAAGGGTTTGTCCTGAATGACCGTGTTGGCCAGCGCCAGCCTCTCGTGCTAACTGCTTTCTTGTCTCGGTTGCTATTCCAAGGACGGGAGGAAGTTGGCCAATTACAGTGTGGGTGTGTGGGTGTGTCGGGGGGTGTGTGTCTCAGAAACACAGGCAGAGGATGGACGTGTGGCTCCTCACCGTGCCCGCTTGTAGGTAGTTCTTAACGGCTCTGTGATGCCAGGAGCGAGCCTGGGGCCCTGGGAGCAAAAATGACTCAGCCAGGCAGAAATGAAACACGGCGGCGCGTCCAAATGGAGCCTTCACTGCTGGTAGAGCAAACCACAAACAGGAACAGCCTTTTTTAGGACTTTGTAAGGATGATGTCGGAACGCACTAGCACACGCGTGCACACGCTTGTCAGAATATAGGAGTTTTGTTTCAAACACGGTCCTTGTTAGGACTTTCCATGACCGTCACCGTGGAAAGTGAGGCGTTCCTGTCTCTCCAGGTTCCCTGCCAGCAGAGAGGTGGCCCTCAGCCACACCCCCAGGTCCTAGCACGTAGAGGTCTATAAAAGTTGGTGGAATTAAACTTTTTTTTTTTTTTTTTTTTTTTTTGAGCACCAGACGTGTGCAGGGTGTTGTTCTGGTGGGTGTATCAAGCTCCCAGAAAGCCTGAAGGGAAAAATCCAGGACTTTTGTTGAGTAGTTAAAAATTCCGTTTTAAATTTGAATTCTGGCAGCATTGACCTGTCGAGGCGGGGAATGCGCCTTTTTCAAGAGTTGACCGGGAACGTCTGGAACGTCCGGCCAGACAAGGAGAAGCAGGGTGCCGAAGGGCCTCATGGGTGTCGTGACCTCTGTTGCTACATGGTCCCTTTTCTCTGTGACCACAGTCACCCTGGACAAACTAGGGTCTGTCGTCTTTTCCAGATACCGGACTGCCCACGTAGACCCACCTAAGTGAAACGGCCATCCTCTCTAACCTGTGTACCTCACCTCACGGTTTCCAGAGCACTGTCCCACGTAATCTAACTTGATCCTTTCAGTAACCCGATCAAGTTGGTAGAGCTTCTTCATGTATGGTTACCTTTTTTAAGAAAAAGGAGCTGGGGTTCACACTGAGGGAGGGCATGGCCCCCAGGCTGTCCCGGCCTCTTAAGGCAGAGCCAAGGCAAGACTTGGAAGTTTGCTGCTCCCTGAAGCTGAATTCTTTGTCTCATGCTACCCTCCTCCCCCAAGACAGGAGCTCCCTGGGAGTGCCCAGGTGCCCTGAACATGCCCTTGACCCAGCCTGCGTGCACAAGAGCCAGTCGGTGCTCTGGATGGAGTACGGCGGTTCAAGCTGTACTGCCCAGGGGGTCTGCACGCGGGCGGGAGGGAGTTGGTACAAACCCATCCCTGCTCCAGGAAACGGAAGTAAAACGTGGGTCCCCGATTAGGTTAGAATGTGTGGCTCTTCCTCCAGGAAACATGTAGCACCCCTAAGTTGGAGCTTTCTGCTCTGCTTCCAGAAGAGGCTCTGGGGCTGGGGGGCCAGGGTTCCCCCTCCCACACTTAGGCAGTGGTCACCCCACAGGACGGCCACAGCTACTTAGGCTAGTTAACCAGACCTCTCGAAGGCCTTTTTGTGGGGGCATGAGGGAGAAAAGGCCATTGAGAAAATTACTGCCTTTACTCTGGGGCTACTTTTATGCTGATAATTTGGGATTTCTTGGTAGTCTTTAGTCCCAGAAACCCCGTATTTACTTCATGAGATTTAGCTCCTAATTTTTGAGTAAAATAAAACTCTTATTTGTGTAAGAGCCAGCATATGCCCAGCTGTGAGTGGAAGCTGTTTCTGGACAGCTCTCTACCCCTGGGAAATGGTGGAATAGGAACTCAGGGCGCCCTTACCCCCTCCCCTGACCTGATCCCTTCTTTGACTAGCAGACCCTCACATAGGTCGAATTAGAGCACCAAATGGCTTTCTTCTCAAATCTAAAGCAGCACACTTTCCACAGGCTGGTCTGTTTCCCTGCCACTCTGAGTTATCTGGAGAGCAGAAACCACCCATCTGTCAAACCAGGGGGCCCATCTAGAAGACCTCTAAGGTCCCTTTGGCCCTGACACTGTAGGGTTCTCTGAGAACCCCCACCTGGAATTTACTACCACCTGGAAATTATAGGGTATGTAATAACATGACCAGCAGGTGGCACTGTGTTCCACCCATGGTGATGGATGGTTTGAAAAGGAAAGTTGGTGCCTTTTGTGTCACAAGTTAATGTTAAGATGCTAATGTTTTAATTAAAATAAGCACTGATCTTATAATATGAAGATACGAACTTTCCTCGCAGGAAATTTTCTGTCGTAAAACCGGTGTCAGGAATCACCGAAGAGCCAACAGAGTTGGTCTTTCCAAGTCAAGGTTTTATCCTGATTGGAAATAGAAACCCTCTCCGGTTGAGAGAGCAGATCCGTCGGAAGCTTAACTTACCTCCTGCCAGCTGTTAGGGTGATTTGATTGTGAAAGCGTGAATTTTCTGGGCAGAAAAGGGGAAGGTATTAAATTGGTTTTAAAGGAAAGTAAGCTTAACGTCTGTTGTATCACAAATCAGTGTTAAAACACTAACTGTAACCAAAATAAATGTCTTACATTACATAGAAATGATCTTTTTGTCCTTCTTACCACAGCTGATTTTCTTCCCTGCTCTTCTGTTTGCTTTTTCTAACTTTTCAAAATAAGCATCATCTAAAAATTAGCCCTCCTGAACTAGTTCTCATTTCCATGATGATTGTATTTATGCAGTAGGTATTTATTTCGTTATTTTTTTTTTCAACGTTTATTTATTTTTGGGACAGAGAGAGACAGAGCATGAACAGGGGAGGGGCAGAGAGAGAGGGAGACACAGAATCGGAAACAGGCTCCAGGCTCTGAGCCATCAGCCCAGAGCCTGATGCCGGGCTCGAACTCACGGACCACGAGATCGTGACCTGGCTGAAGTTGGATGCTTAACTGACTGCGCCACCCAGGCGCCCCTATTTCGTTATTTTTAAATGTTTATTTATTTATTTTGAGAGAGAGAGAGAGAACGAGCAGGGTGGAGGGGCAGAGAGAGAGAGAGAGAGAGAGAGAGAAAGAATCCCAAGCAGGTTCCACACTGTCAGCAAAGAGCCCAAATCGCCTCGAGATCATGACCTGAGCTGAAATCAAGAGTTGGACACTCCAGGGCACCTGGTGGCTCAGTCAGTTAATCGTCTGACTTTGGCTCAGGTCACGATCTCACGGTTCGTGGGTTTGAGCCCTGCGTGGGGCTCTGTGCTGACAGCTCAGAGCCTGGAGTCTGCTTCGGATTCTGTGTCTCCCTGTCTCTCTCAAAAATAAACAAACATAAAAAAAGAGTTGGACACTCAACTGACTGAGCCACCCAGGTGCCCTATGCAGTAGATATTTATTAAACATCTTCCCTGTACCAGAAATTTCCTGTGATAGGAATAATCTTTTTATTTAATTTCTAAAAATTGCAGCTGTTGTGAGGGATAATTGACTGGAATATTCTTGACTAGAGTGGCCCATCCCAAATGAGGGCGGTAGATCTATGTTCCCAAGACAGTAGGAGACTGGGGGTGACAGTCTCAAGGTGGCCTCACGTGAAGATGACTGGGTGGCATTTTTAGGGTTTGGGGGGGTCCTGCAAATGGGCAGTCCCCAAACCTGGCCCCGCCCTCAGACGCCTTGGACTCCACCATTAGCTTTTATCTCCCTTATGATAAACATTGGCTTTTTTTCTTTTTCTCCGAATAAAAAACTCAAGAGTTGGGTGCCTTTTCTCCATGACAGAAAAAAACCTTTTTCATCTCTCGTTCCCCGTAGCAGAGGCAACCTAGACTAACTCGTTATTTGTCCAGTCTCTTTGGACAAATATAATCTTTATATCTTTACATAGGATTTTAGGGCCAAACACTAATCTAGGAGACTGGGAAAAGTGTTTCTTAAAATATAAGTTTAAAAACCTTTTCATTGAAAAGCTAATGCTATATATACATAGGATAAATTCAAGCAATACAAAAGGCTTATCACAAAAAGTGTCTCCTACCCCCAAAGTTTTAATCCCTCCTCTTCGAGGAAGCCACTCTTAAGAAGTATATCCTGCTAGGAAAATCCCAGGCACATGTGTGTGTACGGAGAGATTCCATAGAAAATGTTCTGCACTTGGCTTTTTTTGCTTAACAGACAATTGTTTCTTACAGTAGCATTCATTTTACTGCTACATAGCATTCCACTGTGTATGGCATACGGTGGTTTCTGTACTCTTATTTTATTTAAAAAAACATTTTTTTTAACGTTTATTTATTTTTGAGACAGAGACAGAGCCAGAGCATGAACGGGGGAGGGTCAGAGAGAGAGGGAGACACAGAATCCGAAACAGGCTCCAGGCTCTGAGCTGTCAGCACAGAGCCCGATGCGGGGCTCAAACCCGCGGACTGCGAGATCATGACCTGAGCCGAAGTCGTACGCTTAACCGACTGAGCCACCCAGGCGCCCTGAGATTACTTTTTTTTCAAAAAAAGATTATTATTTTTTTTTAATTTTTTTTTTTTAACATTTATTTATTTTTGAAACAGGGAGAGACAGCATGAACGGGGGAGGGTCAGAGAGAGAGAGGGAGACACAGAATCTGAAACAGGCTCCAGGCTCTGAGCTGTCGGCACAGAGCCTGACGCGGGGCTCGAACTCATGGACTGTGAGATCATGACCTGAGCCGAAGTCAGATGCTTAACCAACTGAATGAGTCACCCAGACACCCCTAAAAAAAGATTATTTTATGGGGGTGGCAGCCCAAGCCTTATTTTTAGAAAGGCAGTCTCTGAGTCATGGCCTTCTGAATTGATGACTCATTTATAAGAAGTTCAAATGCAAAGATTAGATTTTGGCAGTCTACACTAGAATGAGTTAACCTAGAGCAACACAATGAATGGGGGGGGGGGGTCTCCAGTTCATTAAAAGCAGATAGATACACACCATGTATGATCAATGTGCTTTTATTATATTTTTAAATAATTGAAATGTACATATTTTTAAAACCTTAAGTGCTCTCTTCGGCAGCACATACACTAAAACGTTAAGACATCCCTATGGAAATGTGAGGTTTTGAGAGATCTGGTCTGCAAACCCATGAGCTAAATGGCCTTCCAGTGGAACGTTCTCCATGCACTGGAGCACTGGGGCAGCCACCCTGAGAGGCAGGAGGACAGAAAGAAGAGGAAGGGAAGAGTTGAAAAGAGAATGGAGAGCAGAGGACAGGTGCAGCCGGGCTTGGAAGAGGGACATCGGTCTCCAAACACATGGGGTGACAGAACCTCTCTTTGGCCAGAATTTACTCAATTTCTCCTGAACTCTTTTTTTTTTTTTTTAACTTTTAAAAATGTTTATTTTTGAGAGAGAGAGAGAGAGAGAGAGAGAGAGATGAGTGTGAACAGGGAGGGGCAAAAAGAGAGGGAGACACAGAATCCGAAACAGGCTCCAGGCTCTGAACTAGCAGCACAGAGCCTGGCGTGGGGCTCGAACCCACGAACCGCGAGATCATGACCTGAGCGGAAAGTCAGACGCTCGACTGACCGAGCCATCCAGGCGAGCATGAGTGGGGTGGGAGAGGCAGGCAGAGAGAGAAGGAGAGAGAGAAAATCCCAAGCAGCCTCTGCACTGTCAGCACAGAGCCTGATGCAGGGCTTGAGCTTCTGAACCGTGAGATCATGACCTGAGCCGAAATCAGGAGTCCGACGCTTAACTGACTGAGCCAGCCTGGCACCCCTGACTTTACCATTTTTAACAAGAAATACTTGTTTCTTTAGGGTTTTCAGACAGGGGCCCTCCAGGCAGAGGGTGGTAGTTTGGATGGCCGTTGGGGAGGTTCTGGAATTGGTTGTCCTAGTTTCCAGAAAGAACACGGTGGTTCCATCCTGTAAGGGCTGGGGGAACCATTGGCCCATTCTAAGCATGGAGTAGGGGGTGGGGGTAAGTGACAATGGTCTTTGGGACCCCTCTCCTCTTTGTCCCTCAGAAGCTGCTGACTGAACAAGTCAAAGGGTTCCACTTTCCACCTGTGCCGAGACCCTGTGCTCTCCAGGAAACAATCTCTCAGCTGTGAATAAAGACAGGCTGGTGTGGACGTCCCTCAATGCAGGCAGCTGCCTATAAACAGATTGCCCTCCGAATCCAGAGACCCCATGTTACCCCGACCTGTGGGAGCAAAGTCTGTGTAAAAATGCAGCCAACAAGAAGTCTCAGGTCCCATGAATTATAGACAGGTGGCTTGAGTACCAAGTAAAGAGTTAGATGCCTTTGGAGCGTCCTTTCAGATCAAAGATCCTGTAATCCTGAGGATTCAAAGGAGCATAGCTTACTTTCCAAACTTGGCCTGTCCTTCAGAGCGTGGTCCAAACGCCTCGTCTTCCTGTGAGGATCCCTGATCCATCCCACGTGGGAGAGACTCTTCTCCCCTCTGAAAGCTCATAACACTTTGTCCCTTTAAAGAAAAAAATAAAGCATCTGCACCTTTCCTCAGTGGCACTAACCGCTTTCTTTGTGGAAGAACTCTTTTCTTCCCTGGTACAGGAGCTCCTGGAGGGGCGCACGAATCAGTCCAGACCTCCTAGCAGGAGATGAGGTCTTGCTTCGTTAAATGTGTGGCAAGTGGGCATATGAACAGGCAGCTCGGTGGAAATGAAAACCAGCAAATCATCACGTAGGAAAACAGTCTTGTGGAGCGCCTGGGTGGCTCAGTCGGTTGAGCGTCCGGCTTCGGCTCGGGTCATGATCTCGCGGTCCGTGAGTTCGAGCCCCGCGTCGGGCTCTGTGCTGACAGCTCAGAGCCTGGAGCCTGCTTCAGATTCTGTGTACCCCCTCTCTCTCTGCCCCTCCCCACTCATGCTCTGTCTCTCTCTGTCTCAGAAATAAACACTAAAAAAAAAAATTGAAAAAGAAAAACAGCCTTGCTAGAAATTTAGTTACAACGAGTAAATTACTAAATGCAATTAAAAATTGTTTAGCCCAAACCCAGTGTTGGCCACCTTGTGGAGACACATGCTGTTATGCGCTGAATTGTGCCCCCTCTAAACTTCATATCGTGAATCCTAACCCCTGGTGCATCAGAACGTGACCTTTATTTGGAAGCAGGTTTGTTGCAGTTGTAATTAGAGAAGATGAGGTCATTAGGGTGGGCCCTAATTTAATATGACTGATGTCCTTATAAAAAAGGGGAAATTAGGGGGCGCCTGGGTGGCTCAGTCGGTTGAGCGTCCGACTTCGGCTCAGGTCACAATCTCGCGGTCCATGAGTTCGAGCCCCGCGTCGGGCTCTGGGCTGATGGCTCAGAGCCTGGAGCCTGCTTCCGATTCTGTGTCTCCCTCTCTCTCTGCCCCTCCCCCGTTCATGCTCTGTCTCTCTCTGTCTCAAAAATAAATAAATGTTAAAAAAAAAAAATTAAAAAAAAAGGGAAATTAGGACACAGACAAGCACACACGGGGAACGCCATGTGAAGGTGACAGCAGAGATCGTGGTGAAGCTTCTAGAAGTCAAGGAACAAGGAACACCAAAGATTGCCAGGAGAGGCTCCAGAAGCTAGAGCAAAGGCATGCAGCAGACTCTCCCATCACAGCCATCACAAG